TGGATCTTAGCTGAAAGAGAATACTACAAAGATGGTTATCTGTGTTTTATTGACTATGCAAAGGCCTTTGATTGTGTGGATCATGACAAGCTATGGACAGTATTGTAGAGAATGAATATTCCAGAACACTTAATTGTGCTCATGAGGAACCTGTACACAGACCAAGGGGGTAGTTGTTTGAACAGAACAAGGGAGCACCGAATGGTTTAAAATTAGGAAAGGTGTGCACCAGGGTTGTATTCTTTCACCATACTTATTCAACCTGTATGCTGAGCAAATAATCCAAGAAACTGGATTGTATGGAGAAAAACATGGCATCAAGATAGGAGTAAGACTCATTAACAACCTGTGATGTACAGATGATACAACCTTGCTTGATGAAAGCAAAAGAACTTAAAATACTGATGAATATCAAAGACAATAGCTTTTGGTATGGGTTGCACCTCAATGTAAAGAAAACAACAGTTACCACCAATGGACCAATAAACAACATCAAGATAAGTGGAGAAAAGATTGAAGTTGTCAAAGACTTAACTTTGCTTGGATCAACCATCAACACTAGGCAAATCTGCTGCACAAGACCTCTTTAAAGTGTTGAAGAGCAAAGATGTCAGTTTGAAGACTAAGGTGCACCTGACCCAAACCATGGTATTTTCAATTGCCTTACATACATGTGAAAGTTGGATAGTGAATAAGGAAGACTGTAGAAGAATTGATGCATCTGAGCTATGGTGTTGAAAGTACACCCAGAATTCTCCCTGGAAGCCAGGATGGCCAGACTTTGTCTCTCATACTTCAGACATATTTTCAGGAGGGACCAGTCCCTGTTGAAGGATTTTGTGTTTGGTAAAGTGGAGAGTCAGAGATAGAGAGGAAGACCCCCAACGAGATGGATTGGCACTGTGGTGGCAGCAATGGGCTCAACAATTGTGAGGTTGGTGAAGACTGGGCAGTGTTTCATTCTGTTGTGCATAGGGTTGTTATGAGTTGGTATTGACTCTATGGCACCTAACAATAGCAACTAATACACTGTGTAAGGAGCCCTGGTAGTGTAGTGGGTCACAAGTTGGGCTGCGAAGCACAAGATCAGTAGTTCAGATCTAACAGCAATTCTACAAGAGAAAGATAAGACTTTCTACTCCTGTAAAGATTTATAGCCTTGGAAAACCTGTACAGTGTTGCTATAGTGAGAACCGATTTGATAGCACCGTCACTATCATCACTGCAATGTGTTGTATATATGCCCTTGGATGAATCACTTCACTTCTCAGGGTGGTTCCTTCACATCAACATGGGATCATTTCCCTTGTTCTGCTTTCTTTTGAAGCAGACTTTTGTGAGGCTCAAAGTGCTTTGTATTGTGAAAAGGGCTCTCATGATGATATGTGAGCTTATTTTATTCTCCTTGTTCCTCTCCTAGATCTTCCTACTTTCAAGCCTTTCTTTCCAACTGATGCTCTTCTTGGGCCACAGCAGTCTCTAGTCCTCTTTCCCCTCTCTAGTTCCCCACCACCAGTCCCACCACAGGCCACAGTCCTGTGCTCTCCACCCACCACTTCCCCAGTGATCTTTGCCAGACATCCCCTCCCCATACCCTTTCTTACTCTGCCCAGACCTCAGACTACATGATCCATCTCCAGGCAATTTCCCAGTTTGGTAGTAGTGGAGTCTACGAAAGGAAAGGCAGGCTCGAGTTAGGGAAGGGCTGGAGGTTCTGAGAGAGGAGCCCCCAGTTCATATGGCTGATGTAGTCTATGTCCACTTCCACCACTAACTTCCTCTCTGGTTGGCTTCAAGACCTTACCTGTCTCAATTCTGTGCTCTGGGGTGGGGTTGGGGGCATTGAAAGGATAGTCCAGGGCACTGACGTGGACTTTGTGGATGCCTAAAGAGAGGGCACTGACTGCGGGGGAAAGAACTAATCTCCAGTGGAGTACTATGCTGCCATAAAAAAGAGTGAGGAGACTCTAAATGTACCGTTGTAGAACCGTGCACAATAGCTTTAAGGGGGAAGAACAAGGTACATAATGGCAGGTGGAGGGTACAGCCAACTGTGGTTAAATGCCGTCCAGTTGGTTCTGACTTGTAGCAGCCCTGTTTGCAAGTAGTTTAGGGCTTGCAAGTAGTTTGAACCACCAACCTTTCTATTAGCAGTCTAGTCTTATCCTACATGCCACAGACGAACCCCACACTCCCATCTATGAGTAAGTATATCCAAAGTCACTTCACAATACTACTGCTGCTGGTCTGAGCCACTAGCATCTCTGATCTGGATTGTGTACCCTTGCTCCCCTACAGCCTGTTCTCAACATAGCAGCCAGTGTGAGCCTTGTAAATCACAAAAAAAGTCCTGCAGTGGTTCCTCTTTTCACTGAGGTAAGAGCCCCAGTTCTCTATGACCGCCTGCACCCCAACCCCAGCTTTACTTCTTTTTTCCGTAACACCTATTACCTTCTAACATCTACGTACTTATTTTTTTGTGCTTATAATTTATCTTCTGTCATCAGATATGTAAGCTCTATGAATGCAAGGAACTATTTTTTTCACTGCTATGTCTAAAGCAAGGAGCTCTGGTAGTGTAGTGGTTACGAGTTGGGCTGCTAACCTCAAGGTCAGCAGTTTGAAACTACCAGCCGTTTGCGGGACAAAGATGAGGCTTTCTACTCCCATAAAGATTTACAGCCTCGAAAACCGTATGCCCAGTTACTATGAGTCGAAACCAACTCCATGGCATACCACCATGTCTAAAGCACCCAGCTTGTCATATAGTAGATGTTCAATAATATTTGTTTTGTGACTGAATGAAAATGCCATCTATGCACAGACTGTCTCTAAGACACTGGTAACCATGGTTACCTCCAGGGAGACCTGGGGAGTTGAGGGGTGGGTAAGTGTGATAATGAGACTTACTTTTCACTATCAGAATTCTTTAGGTATTTACAAGAAAAAAAGAAAGCAAACAAACAAAAAAAAAAACCAGAGGCGTTGACTCAGAAGGCTCTGGAAAATCTGGTCCCTGAGAGGAAGAGGGAGGGCTCCATACATCATCTCCTGGCCAGTGTTCTAGGTGAGAAAGGAAGGGGGCAATAACTGGGCACCAAGGGGAGCCAGGGAATGCTGGATGAGGATCTTAGGGAGACTTCGAGTAAGCCCTATGGCTGGCTCTGAAGCTGTGGGTGGACACATCAGTAAGCACTTAGTAAGATGATGGAGAAGGCTGATGTGTACCCACCACTGGGAACAATTCAGGGAAAGCATGTGCCAGTTGCTGCCAAGGGGATGTAAGTTGTCAACGCTGCTGGCTCAGGCTGTTTGTGATCTCATGGAACCACACTGTGATAACCCTGAGGGACCAGTGTGGCCACACAGGTACCTTTTTCTTGAATCTTTGTATGTAAGCTGGAAAAGCAGGGCTTTACTTCTCCCATAAGCAAGGAACTAGCAGCAGTTCAGTCCTTGGTGTGGCACTGTAGGATAAGCACTGGACTGGTAACTAAACAATCAGCAGTTCAAACCCACCAGTTGCTCTTGGAAACATGCTGAGTCAGAACCAACTTGATAAACAAGAGTTCAGTGCTCTCCCCAGATTCTAAGACAGGCTGTTGCCTAAAGCAGGGCAAGGGTCCATTTTTTGAGAAAGGGGCTGGGGTCTACAGGTTCCCATGCTAAGACTCAGAGCCTCATAGAAGACCTCAACCAAGCTGGATTCCCCCCTCCCCTTCTGACACACACACACACACCCCCAAACTAGGAAGAACCTGGCGTTTCTGCTCTCCCAACCCAGGATCAGACCTGGCTTTCAGTCTCAGTTCTTCCTGCTTTGTACCCTGGTTCTGAGCTCCTTCCAATGTAGTTTTTCTGATCTCTCATTCAGACATTTGAAACTTTTGACCTCAAAGTCTATTTATTATTTTATAGTTCAGTGACACTCAGAGATCTGAGGCTTAGGAGAAGCAGTCCTAAACATGGAATGAAGGGGTATGGTAAGATCAACCATCTGGGCTGGTGAGCTGGCTGTGCCATGCTGGGAGGAGCTCCATGCTGCTGCAGTCTTAGTGGGGTCCTCACCAGCAGGCCAAGCTCCTGCCCAAAGAACAGAGGAGGCCCAGAGATGAGGCAGGTCTGACAGATGGCCCAGTCCAAAGCAGTATCTACACTTCACTCAAATGTTTGTGGCCCATCTTTGGTCAAGCAAAGTTGGCCCCTAGAGTCTTGATGGGGGCTGGGATGGGTGCTGAAGAAGAAAATGGGAAGCTAAGATACAGGCTCTGTTAGAGAAACTGCAGCTATGCCTTCTGTCCGTCTGCCCTACTCTGCCCACCTGAGCATCGCCAGCTGGGAGAGGCAGTTCTCTGCCTCCATTAATCCAGCAACTCTTTGATACACCAGCAGCAGAGGAGGATGTAGGTGGCTTCCTTCAGGGTTTGCTGCAAGCCCTCCCACCCTGTGTCCATCTTCACGTTGGGCACTCGGAGCTCAGTATCTCACAGGACCTCTCTGAGAGAGAAAGGTAGGGTCTTCTGTCCAGGGCTGCACGTAGGCAGCAGCTTTGAGGAAGGGTGGAAGCTGCTGCCAGCGCCTTTTATCAACATTGTTCCCACCCCTGTCACTCAGCCCTCATGATTACAGAGACAAAGAGCTCCGGGTTTGGCAGTGGAAGGTTCTGGGCCTGGAATAGGCTGAGTCAATCCCTATCAACAGTGGGGTGGGGTTAGTAGCAGGGAGGGCCTGGACACTTTCATCCTCTGCTACCAGGTCAGCTCAGCTTCCCTTTTCTCAGCCCAGGCCTTGATAACTCAGGTACCCGGCCTGACTGCCCTTTCCCCAGAGTTTGGCATTACTCTCTGCTCTTATCCTACTGAGGCTGGCACCAGAACCATCAATGAGAATTCCCTTCCAGCCTGTCTGGCCTCACCCTAGGCTCCTCAGAGTGAGCAGGGTCTGGTCCACTTCTGCTATGCCCATCCCCTGGAGCAGGAAGACACAGCTGGAGGTATGAGCACAGTGAGAGACATGGTTTATTGGCAGGTCACACCCCAGGACAGTCCTCTTCCCTCAGTCCAGAGGTAGTAGGGGTGGGTGGTCACATGCGGGAGTTCCGTTCCTCCTCCTCATTCTCTAGTTGATAAGCTGGACGGTAGGTGGGGTATCCCCCTGGGCTGAGGCACTTCAGGGCCGGGTTCCGCACTGTGTTCTCCTGGCTCCCCAGCGACGTGTAACTGGAGCGGGGAGTTTGTGTGGTAGGGTGGCTTTCCCATCCTAGCACCCTCCCATCCACCCACATTCCTTTTCTTCCACTGACACCCTTACCCTCGGTCATACAGGATACAGTATGAGATAAAGAGCTGACGCAGAAAGTCCCAGATGTCTCTGTAGGTCCAGTCCTGGGAAATCAGAAAATCACAGAATCATCACAAATAAATACTTGACAGCTCTCTTCCACACACCTACACCCCACCCAGGGCTCTGTTGGATTCTCTGGTAACTCTTGCTATGTAGGCTACACAGTAAGAAAGGGAAAGCTGTGATTTTCTTTTGTCTCCATTTCCAAGTCTCCCACTACACTGGAGTGAAGCTCCAGTGTCTAAGCAGTGATACCTAATAGAACTTTATACAATAATGGAAATGTGCTATAGCTGTGCTGTCTACTGTGGCAGACACTAGACACATGAGTACTTGAAATGCTCCTAGTGCAACTAAAGGACTGAATTTTTAATTGTATTTAATTTAAAAATTGAGATAAAGTTCATATACCATAAGACTCACCCCTTTAAAGTATATTCATTGGACTTCAGACATTTGCATTTAGTTTTAAAATGAAAACTTAAGTATTCCTAGCTACTTAACTATAAATAAATACTGGGGGTGGTTATGTGCTGTGGAGTCGATTCTGACTCATAGCGACCCTGTACAGGGATTCCGAGGCTGTAAATCTTTATGGGAGCAGAACACCTTATCTTTCTCCCATGGAACAGCTGGTCGTTTCGAACTGCTGACCTTGAAGTTCACAATCCGATTCATAACCACTACGCTACCAGAGTGTGGCCACCTGCAAAGTTGGTAGTTCAAATTCACCAGCTACTCCTTGGAAACCCTACACAAGGTCGCTGCGCTGTGAGTCAGAACTGACTCCATGGTACTTAGCACCATCACCACTACCACCATCACATTGGAAAACACGGGTTTAAGTCATTGTTCTGTCCTTAGTAGAGAGCCCAATGCCTGTCATTTAACTGTTGTTGTTAGGTGCCATCGATTGGATTTTGACCCATCGTGACGCTATGTCACAGAGTAGAACTGTCCCATAGTGTCCCCTAGGCTGTAATTGCCTCTCCCTCATTACCAGTAGTGGGTTGATGCGCATGAATGAAGGCCAGCCTGGGTCGGTGGGGCTAAAAGGGCAGAGGCTGCAGGAGTAGGGGTCAGTGCGGCGGGTTCCCATCAGGACGGCCTTCAGCTGGGGATGCTGTGTCTGCAGCTCACCCAGGGCTTGCTTCATGTCACCCTGAGCCTCCAGCACCTGCAGATCATATCTTAGGAAGGAAAAGAAGTAGGGGTCAGGAGTGGGCCATGTTGAGCCTCTTGAAACCCAAATCCCCAGTCCTCTCATACCTCTTGATGGTGTCCTGGAGAAACTGCTCCAGCTCTGGGAAAGGGGAGATGCTCCGGATATACAGAATCTGGAGAGGCTCTTGGGTATCAGGATATTTCCTGCGGAGGTAGGGAAAAACCCACAGGCTTGCCTCTATGGGCAGAAAGCTGGTTCTCAGAAAGCCCATGCTGTTCTTTGGGCCCCGGGATGGACATGCTCCCTTGTTCCCATGTCCTTGTCCTTCCCACCCATCAGAACCCACTTTCCCTAGGGAGCCTGCTCTGACCTCTGAACTCTGGAGCACATCTCCCCAACAAGACTATGATCTCCCTATGGGCAGGGACAGTGGCTTCCACTGCCACACCCAGGGCCAGACATGTGTCAGATGCTTAATAAATATGATAGGGGGATGGAACTGAGAGGTCACAAGACTACCGCCCTCCCAGACACTCTCTTCTCCCTGCTTCTAGGGATGGGGAGCAGAAGGCAGAGGCTGATGAGGTCCCCCTGGGGTCTTGCCTCCTAGTGCAGGCTCACCTCTGCACAGCTGCGTGGAAGAGCTGTAGAAGGGCGGTGCAGTCCTTGCCCCCATTAAAGCCCACACAGAGCTGGGTGAGGCTATACTGAGCCAGGGCTGTCTCAATGGTCTGCAGGGCGCTTGCCACCTTTTGTCCCAGAGGAGACACTGCCACGTAGACAGGGGAGAGGGTGTCAAAAGGAAGAGAGCTCTTGTTTAAAACCTTCAACGACTTTCTCAGTGTTCCTAGGATAAAGTCCAGGCTCCTTCATGCTGCCCACTGGGCCTGCAGAGTCCTGCACCTGCCTGCCTTTAGCCACCCTTCACCTCACTTTTGCCCTCAGTGCTTTGTCGCTGGGGTTCCGGTTCCCTTGTATGCCCCAAACCCCATGTGGCCTCTTTGCAGGCCCTCGCTGAAACTGCTGCTCTTACCCAAACCAAACCCTCCTTACCCCTCAGCTTAAATGTCACTTGTGCAGAGGAGCCTTCTATGACTGAACTACCAAGGCTGAGCTCCCTGCTGTGGCGTTCTCGTCATCACTCACGATTAAACTACTGGCACCAAAGGGCAGGACAAACACTTGTGGAACACCCAGCACATGTAGTCCATATTTATACAAAGAATGAATGAATCAGCTGTAGCTCACTTCTGCCCTCCCCAGATATATGGGATGCCTCCAGTAGCCCTAGCATTCCTGAGAGCCAGCTGACACTGGAGGATGCCCCTACCTGATTCAGTGAGTTTGTACACAGCCTCACTGGCCTGCTCCACAGTGTTGGGAACGTAGGGGACCAGTGATCCCTGGGGCAGACGGGCAGTCAGGTAGGCCAGACCTTCCTCCAGGTACTGTTCTTCCTCCGAGTCCAGGGTCAGTTTCACCTGATAGTAGTTGTTGGTCCAGTCAGGGTAGGAACCTAGGCCAAGCCTGCGCCCAAAGTGGGCCTGGGCCTCTGCTAGGATTGGGGCAATAGAGGCCTCATGGGCAGCCACATACAACTCCCGCAAGTGGAACTGAACAGCGTCATTCTGGAACAGCCCCTTCAACCCCTCCAGCGCTCGCCTCAGCAGCTCTGGAATGCCAGGGAAGAGGTAGACATTTTGGACAGAGACCAGTGGGAATTTGAAGGTGCGGCCAGTGCGAGGATCTGTGCCATAGTGCAGGCGGGCAGAGGAGGGCACCAGAGACATCTTCTCTCGGCCTTCCCCTCCGAGGGATCTGATGATGGCTTCTAGCTCCGGGTGTGGCTTGAGCTCATCCCCAAAGGCCTGTGCCACTGCCTCAAAGGTCACATCATCGTGGGTGGGGCCGATACCCCCAGCTGTGAGGACATGAGTGAACTGGCTGGAGAAAGAGGTGACCTCAGCTGCGATGGTGGCTACCTCATCAGGTACAACAGAGACTCGGCACACTTGGACCCCCAGGGAGCGCAGCGTCCGACACAGAAAGTAAGTGTTGGTATCCTGAGTGTGTCCCTGGGGAGGGGGAGAGGTAGAGGATGAGAAAGTCAGTGCCGTGGGGATGAGCGCAGAGAGGGAGCGGATGACTGCTGTCTGGTAAAGGGGATGCTCTGCTCTTTGGGAGACACTGCACGCTGCCAAGAAGCCTAAGTATAAGGTATACAAATCAACTTGAATGGAGTTAGTGAACCACATTGGGGCCTCCGTTCTCTGCACTCTGTCCCTGACCTCATCTAGGCTTCCGGGATAAATGTTAAATTCTGTAGTCTCTGAGTGGCACAAACCACTAAGTGCTACCAGACTACTAGCTGAAAGACTGGCTGTTTGAACCCACCTACAAGCCTGGCAACCTGCTTCCAAAAGGTTACAGCCTTGAAAAGCCTATGGAAGTAGTTCTACTCTGCACACATAGGGCTGCCATGAGTTGGAATTGCCAGCAACTAACAACAACAAGGACAGCTAGCCCTCTTCCTTACCAATCCTGCTCTCTGTTCTTCCTCTCCATTTCATGCCCTTGGCACTAAGTGCCTGTTGGACAGGTTTACCATATCCCTGGCTGTTGTCACTTCAGTTAATGGTACCTCTAGGTACTATCTATAGCATCCCCAGGCATGTCCCTATTCACAGAATTAGGCACAGTGTTCATCCTGCTAATTCTACTTCTGAAATTCTCTCTTCTCTTTGTCCCCACTGCCACCAAGTAAGTCCTTTTACCTGGACAATGATGACAGTCTCTTGGCCAGATTCTCAGCTGAGTCACCTTCCTAATGTGCCACTGTGATTGCATCACTCTTTGACTGAGAAGCCATTTGTTGTTTCCAACTGTTTACAGAATAAAGTTCAAATTTCTTTGCAGAGTCTTTAAGGCTGCTTCTCTGTGGTATGTACACAATCTTCGTTTCCAGTCCCATCTCCTTCTACTTCTCTACACAGGGCTTAGTGGTTATGTTTTTGTATTCTGGAGTAAAGGAGAATCAGACTGAAATTCCATCTCACCCCTTTCTGCCTGTGTAACCATGGGTAAGTTTTTCAACCTCTCTGGACCTCATTTTTGCAGTCTATTAAGATTTAGTTCACAGTTGTGAGGCTGTAAGGATTAGTAAAATCACATATGATGTGTGATGCAATAAGCACATTTCTAGGCCCTGTTGTTGTTACGTGCTGTCAAGTTGGTTCCGATTCATAGCGACTCTGTATAGGGTTTCTAAGGAGTAGCTGGTGAGTTTGAACTGCCGACCTTGTGATTCAAATGACCTTTCAGTCCAGTGCCTTACTCTGTAGCGCCTCAATAAATACCCAAACCCCAAACCAAACCCACTGTAGTCAAATCAATTCTGACTCATAATGACTCTATAGGACAGAGTAGAATTGTCCCTATAGGGTTTCTAAGACTGTAAATCTTTATGGAACAGACAGTCAGAGTGACTGATGGGGGGACCTTTTGGTTAGCAGTGAGCACTTTACCTACTGTGCCACCAGGGACTCTTACTCAATAAAAGAAGCCAATATAACTATTAAAGAAACCGTAGTGGCACAATGGTTAAGTGCTTGCATGCTCACTGAAAAACCATAGTTTAAACCCACCCAACTGTTCCACAGGAAAAAACCCTGGCAGCCTGTTTGTCTTGGAAACCCTATGGGCAGCTTTACTCTATACTTTATGGTGGCTATGAGTTGGAATTGGCTCAATGACAATAGGTCTGGTTTGGGTTATTACTATTATGAATCTGATGTTCAGTAAAATTGGACTACTTGACTTTTGTTCACTAAAGACATTTGCTTTCTGAAAGAAGATATTTGTACATGGGTATTTGCCTTTGCTGCAAATACAAATATGAATGTGGTGGAGCATACAGGGGTCAAAATAATGAAAATTTCTTAGATATTATCAAAGTTCTTAGGGCAATAGGCCTGGAAGCTCAGGACCACCGTCTCAGGGGACACCATGATCAATTAGCATAACATAGTCCACAAAGACAATGTTTTACATCCTACTTTGGTGAGTAGCACCTGGGATCTTAAAAGCTCATGATTGGCCATCTAAGGTGCAACTATTGGTCTCTCCATGTGAGGAAGAAAGAAGAGTGATGAGCTGAAGATGCTTGGAATCAATTCCTCCAGTGGACTAATGTAACATGTGAACATCAGTCTTCACAACTCTGAGACCAGAAGAACTAGATGGTGCCAGCTACCACTACTAACTACTCTAAAAGGCATCACATTAGATGGCCCCAGATAGAGTGGGAGAAAATGTGGGACAAAACTGAAAATTATAAGAAAACAGATTGGGCTTACTGGTCAGAAAGAGACTGGAGAAACCTGAGAAGATGGCCCTTGACCACCTTTCAAATCTGGAAAGAAACTCATCTTCCTGGCCCAATACGTAAGGTACAACCCTAGTAAGAAACAACACTAGTAAAATACGTTCACCAGGGAATGGTTAATCACTCAAAATCAAAAGGGCAACATTTACCTAAGGACAAAGTTGAGAAGGGGTGGGAAGTTGGGTGGAATGGAAATTAAGAACCGGGAGGAGGCAGGATAACTGTTGTTGCATGAAGGGGATTGCAATCATTGAGATGAAACAAAGTATATGATTTATTGAATGTAAAACCGATGATGATGAGTGAAGTCTGTAAACCTTCACTCAATTCACAATAAAAAGTTAAAACAAAAAAAATAAAGACATTGCTTTTAGATCTTTATTCCTTTGTTCTCAGGAAGTCCTAAGTCTTTCATTTTGATTTACCCTTGTCAAGACCCTATTATCCCTTAACTTAGTCAAGTGGCATAATATGTTAATAAAGTTAATGTTCTTCTACACCTTAGTTTGGTGACTAGTGTCTGGGTTTTAAAAGCTTGCAAGTGACCATCTGTGATAATCACTGTTGATTTCTACTCACTTGGAGTGAAAGAGAAGAAAAGAAACCAAAGACATAAGCAAGAAGCTGGCCCAGACGAATGTGAGAGCAGATGCACTACTGACTAGGGACACACCAGAAGGTCCTGATAAAAATGGGAGAAAAACAGAACAAAACTCAAATTCATAAAAAAAAAAGATTTATGGGACTGACAGAGATTGGAAGAACCCCTCAAGACTACTGCCCTAAGAGACCCTTTTAACTGAAAAGTGAAACTACTTTCAGTGGTCAATTTTCAGTCAAACAATAGATTGGCTTATAAAATAAAACAGTACCTCACTGTGAGTAAGGTGCTCCCTTAAACAATTAACTCTATGAAACCAAATGATCAAACCAAGAGCAACGATGAGAAAGCCAGGAAGGGAAGGGAATTCAATGTCACCGAACAATCTGTATAAATTGTTAAATGGGAACCTAATTCACTGTGTGCATTTCACATAAAATGAAAACAATAAAATGTTGATGTGGGTAAGAACCCACCATCTTTCAAAGCCTAACTCTAATGTCATGCCCTTTATTTAGTAAGATTTCCCTGATTCTTCCCTTCTAGTACCTTCCTTCTATCCACTTATCCACACTGCTGGTGGCTTACACCATTTTCTAAATGGGCTGGCTATAACTACTAAATAAACAATTTATGCAGCAGTGCCTTCTCTAGGGAGTCCTGGTGTGGCACTGTGGGTTAATGTGCTGGACTCCAATGTCGGCTTGAACTGCAAGGTCAACAGTTCAAGTTCACCAGCTGCTCCTTGGAAACACTATACAGGGTTGCTATGGGTCGGAATCGACTCAACGGCACATAACAGCAACTTTATGTAGACTCCGGTCTCCCTGTCATTTGTGGAGTTAGGGATAACTTCCCAACCATGTAGCTTGGCAAACTGTAAGGACTTGGTACATGTTTTTGACAGAATAATGAAAGAAATAAAGAAATAAAGGTCACATTTCCTTCAGAACCCAACTGCAACAAAGGAGCTCCCACCCTGGTTCACCAAATGATGATAAGCAGGCTCAATGACATAAAAATGCAGACCCTTCCCCACCTCTGTTCCAGACACACCTTGAGGATCTCATCTCCAACAATGATGATGCCCGCCGTCACGCTGCGCCCGGGGGTAGATTCAGAGGCCCGAGATGCCATGATCCTGCCTTCTCCGCCCCTGTGCAAAGCCCTCCAGTAGCCACCCAGACCCCGAAATAGGGGTCGTAAGCACGGGTATCCCTCCAGATCTACAAGACACTGGGGGCCATAGCCTGGGAACAGGGGTCTTGGGCTGAGCAAACCTGGAGGAGCCAGAAAGGACAACAGGGGAGAGCGGGTCCTTGACAAGTGATTCTTTTATCCCTGTCTCTTTAATAAACGTGTTCCTAAACCCCAGCCTATGTACTTTTAAACATGTCCACTAAACCTGCCTCTAGTCTCTTTAAAAAGTTCAGCTTTCCCAAGCACCTACCCTTTAAATGTCTTCTGTATGCCGAGACGGTCTCCTCTAGTGTCTGCTCTTAGGCATCTGCACCTTTAAATGTTTCTTTTCCAGGGGGCACCTGCCCCTTTAAATGTCTACCCTATCCTGGGTAGACATTTAAATACATTCCGTCCCTTCACCCCAATCGAACCCAGTTACCTTCTTCTTCAAGCTGCACACCCTTTCCAGCCTGGGATTCCTTCTCTTTCTATCAAGCTCTAGACTACAGAACTCTGCCCAGCTCTCACCTACCTCTTTTGCCCCTTAACCCGGTCGTTCCCACTTTCCTTTCCTTATGTCCCAGGTCAGCTTCCGTACTCAGAGTCCTGCCTTACTCATATTTGCTTTGTATTAATTGGTCTTTGTGACTGTTACTCAGACTGCTCTCAAGGTTCCAATTGGTGAAGTGGATTATCGCTCATGGGTGTTAGTCAGTGGGTGGGAACAGTGGTGGATCGTTATTAGGACAACCACGTGGCCACCTCTCACCCGGAAATATGGGGGCGGAGCCTCTTTTAAGGCTGGGGGCGGGGCATGGGGAGTGACTGGCACTGTTTGTTGGAAGTGCTCCAAGGACTTTGACTACAGGTATCTTCTGCATTTCGGAAGTTCACTTTCCGACACTTTGATATTATGAAAGACCTACATTAAAACCCCGGAGTCCTGGTGTGGCACTGTGGGTTATGCGCTGGACTGCAAAGGCGGTTCAAACTCCCCAGTTGCTCCTCGGAAACCCTATACAGGGCCGCTAAGGGTAGGAACCGACTCGACAGTATTTAACAACAAAACATTAGAATCCCAGCGAGTGGATTTGACACTGGCAGCAACAATGGGCTCAAACAAACGATTGTGAGGATGGCGCAGGATCCTGATAGTGTTAAGTTCTGTTGTGCATAGGGTCACTATGATTTGGAACTTACTCGATGGCACGAAACATCATTAGTACCTGTTTTCACAACCAAAACAAATCCGAACAGGACTTGCTTTTACAGAAAAAATGGTGAAAAGCAAAACTAGTGTTCAGAGTTAGTTATTAACGAGGCAGTATGCACTCTGAGCAACAAGAATGGTGTCGCTAAGCTCCGCCCAAGAACTACACTGTACATACAGGCTATATAACATAGCACTCCTGCTTTTATTTTGTTGTTGTGTGTCATTGAATTCTGACCCATAGCGACCCTGTATAGATGTGTTGTTTGGTTTGATTTCGTAGATTAATTTTTTGGGTCCGCCTTGTTAAGTGCCGTAGAGCCGGTTCGGTTCTGACTCTTAGCGGCGCTGTGTAGGATTGCCTAGGTTTTAAATCTTAACAGGAGCAGAAAGCCTCATCTCTTTCTCATGATCTCAGAGCGATTGACGGGTTTGAACATTGTGGTTCGCAATCCAGTACTTATTGTATGGAACCTGGGAATGCTAAAAAATTAAGTCCCATATAAATTAATGCTAATTCTTAGCTTTTCACTAGAAAATGTTTCATACGAACTCTCTTCTTTTGGATGAGGATTGGGGGAGATCTGTCCTTCTAGTGATGTACTTGAAGGGCAGACTTATCTCTTCTGTTGTGTGTTCACATTTCTTGTATGTATGTGCTGTTTTCATTAAATCTGACTATTACTAGGCTATGTGTCCTTGTGTGGCACTGTAGGAAGGTACTGGACAGCTAAAAAGGGCAGTGGTTCAAACCCACCAGCAGTTCCTGGAAATCCTATACAGAGTTGCTATGAGTCAGAACTATCATTAGTCTTTACTATTACTGATAAAACCACTTAAACCTCTTTAACAAGAAAAAGGCCAAACCTTTTCTGGCCTCACCTTGCTCTAGCTGTGCATAGTTTAAACATCACCTCTCCCCATCATTGGTGTTTATAGGTACAAGTGAAGATAGCAAATAGGGAGTGCCTTTTGTGTCGTCTCTAGATTCTCATAACTCCCACTTTCATCTGCCACTGGTCTAAACATGCTTCTTAAACATTAATATTCATACTGAGGATCTTTTCAACACAAAGATTCTGATTCAGTAGGTTTGTGTGGGTCCTGGATATGCATTTAACAAGCTCTGGAGTTCTGTGGATGCTGTTGGTGGACATTTTGAGTAGCTGTTAGTTGCTTTCAAGTCAATTCTGATTCATAGCAACCCCAGTGTATGCTGAGAACTGCTCAGTAGGATTTTCAAGGCAGTGATCCTTCAGAAGCAAATTGTCAGGCCTTTCTTCCAAGGGCCTTCTAGGTGGGTTCCAACTGTCAACTTTTTGGCTAATAGTTGTGAGGTGCTTTTTGCCACCCAGATATTCCTTTTTGAGCAGCAAGGGTCTAAAAATCCAGTGTTTGTAGGGCTGCCCAACCACACCTGGCTTCATTTTACTTTCCTAAAAATCCTCTAAGACATGCTGCAAATATATCCATGAATGTGGTGGAGCATAAGGGGGCAGTTATGAAAACTTCTTAATCAAACACCTGGTGAGAATGAGTCAACAGACCAGGGGGCTCAGGACCATGGTCACGGGACACCATGGTCAAGTGGACTAACACAGTACTCAAGAACAATGTTCTAGGTCCTACTTTGGTGAGTAGCAACTGGGTTCTTAAGAAAGTTTGTGAGCAGCCGTATAAGCTGGTGTTATTGGTCTCTCCTCATCTGTAGTCCAGTGGATTAATGGATCGTGTGCTCATAAACCTCCCTGTGACCAAAACTAGATGGTGCCCTACTACCACTACCACCTGCTCTATATAGGATCACATTAGAAGGTTCTGGATAGAGTGGGAGAAGAATGTGGACCCTAACTCAAAAGCAGAATGCAGACCAGGCTTACTAGTATGATAAAGGCTGTGGCCACTCTTAGCTCTGGAACTGAACTCACCCCAGTGGCTCAATTTTCAACCAAACATTAAGACAGGTCTGGATTGGCCAAGTGGCACCATTGATGGACTCAAGTGTGGCAACAATAGTGAGGTTGGCCCAGGATCGGACAGTGTTTTGTTCTGCTGTGCCTAAGGTCGCTATGAGCTGGCACTGACTCAATGGCACCTAACAACAATATAATGGGAATAATAACACTAGGGAGAAAAATACTCCTTAGAAAAATCAACCATTGGAGATCAAAAGGGCAGCATTTACCCAAGGGCAGAATCTAGAAGGGTTAGGAAATAAGGAATGGAAATTGGAAACAGAGGAAGTGGGATAAGTACTGTTACATCTTACGGACTGTAATCAGTGACATGAAACAAAATGTGTATGAATTGCTGAATGGAAAACTGACTTGCTCTGTGAAACTTCACCCGACTTACAAAAAGTTTTAAAAAGTGAAGAATGTACTTAAGTAGGATCATACCCATTTTACAGATGGAGAACAGGCTCAGAAAGGTGAAGGGATGCCAACCAACAACCACAGAACACTAAAGTGAATGGTAAGGCCAGGTTTCTAGGCTTCTATTATTGTTTCTCAAGTAATGGGGGATGGGGTGGTAGTGGTGATGTGTGGGCGTTCAATTAAAAGAATATCAGCTCTGGTCCAATCTTCTATGACTTGGTTTTCAAGCTTGAACAGGCATCAGAACCACTTGAAGTGCTTGCTAAGAGATTGCTGGACCCAACCCTCAATTTCTGATTAAACAGATCTATGGTGGATCCCAAGAATTTGCATTACTAACAAGTTTCCAGGTGATGTTATGGCCCATGGACCACACCTGAACTAGTACTCTAGAAGTAAGTGGAAGTAAGATAGTAATTGAGTAAAGAATAATTTTGTTTAGTGTTGCCATTATCTTTAGAGTATTTGGTGAAATGTTCTCCTTAACAGCTACAACTTTTCTCAAAGCTTAGTGCTTAACTACCTAAACACATAGAGTTGCTTGGCACACATGGGGTTTTACGATTTTGAGACTCCATGTGTGCCAACTAGAATAACTCCATAGGGTTTTCATGGCTATGAGCTGGGTACTATTCTCAGTGAGTTCTTGCCAGATATCTTTGGGTTAACCATTTGTGCCACCCAGGGACTTCAACTACTTACAGAATATTCAAAATGCCTAACTCCAGGCTACACCCTAGCTCACTTCAGCATTTTCTCATGCTCCTCAGAGGGTTTCAATGCCCAGCCAAATACCCCCTGAGGAGACCCCAAAGTGCAGGGGGTACATAGGTGTGCCTGTGTCCTGAGGCAAAAACAGGAAATGGAGTGTACTGGTAGTCTTTAGCTGACAGCCCGATCTCTGTTCTTATCTCACTGCCAACTAGTAGATTCTGACTGATAACAATCCTAAAACTGCTCTCATCTTTCTCTTGCACCATGGCTGGTGGGTTTGAACCACCGTCCTTGCACTTAGCAGCCCAACATTTAACCCACTACAGTATGAAGGATCTTCTGCGCCTTTCAAACATTGGGACTAGGTTAAAGACAGCATCCCTGAATGTGGGAAACAGTTCATATGTTTTAGTGAAATGAGATTTTCCCTCCATAACCTCTACCCCAGGCCAGTGGTTAAGAGCGAAATATATTTCAGTAGATGTTTGACAGCAAGTATGCTTAAAGTTGATTAAAAACCAGTTACCTGAATGTTGAAATAAACCTCATTATCAGCAAAGTGCTGAGCCTCATTATCTAACTGAACAGCAGATAATTAGAGCCATGTTACTGACTGAGATGCTCATCCTGAATGTGGTGGTGGGGATGGGGGCGGGGAGGGCGGAAGAAGAGGGTGTAAAGAAAACTTACAATGAGAGCTGGATTATAAAAACTTCCTCTTTAATCAAGGGTTTTAACATGGAACAGATTTCTTGAATAAAATGGAAAGCTTCCAGTACATTGAAACACAAATCCACAATCACCATACATACAGTATCCGGCAGGAAAAAACAAAATAGCACGTTTACACAATCCCTCTAACAGAGCCCCGTGGTCTTATTCTCAATCCCACCATCTGCCAGGTGTGTTCTGCTGGATACAGAGTTCACCATGGCTTCTGGGGTCACACGCAGCTAAGACTGTGGCCCACAGAGCCCTCATCAGGCTGGGCAGTGGTGGCTCTACTCAAGAAGCAAAGCAGCCACCAGCACATTCAAACAGTGTACTGAACATCCTTTAAATATCAAAGTGAGAAATAAGAAGGCAATATTATCAGGAAGATGTTAGCAAGTAAGGACAGCTGTGAACAGCTTGAGGCTGCAAAGTGGCTCCCTATCTTCATTTCTTTGGCTTCTTGGGTAGTGGCCTCCGGAACAGCAAGATGTGAGGTTCTGAAAGAACGAGTGAAATCTGAGACAAGCTCACACCATTTTATGCACTGGCTATAGTTCATCCAAGCTCCCAGCTATCACCCGCTCAGATCTTTATAAC